TCTTAGAAGACGAAACACGGGGGAAAGAAGTACTAACCGAAGAGGCTAGCGGATTGGCAGGACGGAAGAGATCCAGAGGCACGTCAGGGAGGCTTGGCGTGGGTGGATTGCGTGTGCCTGAAGAAATGTCAGGGAGGGGTGAGGAAACGGAAGCGCGATGAAAAAAGTATGGACCTTTGGAGATATCGAAAGGGAGAACCCACAAAGGAGAAATCGAAGGGAGCTCTTCGGATGATGGGAGATTGCTGGTAATGCTGGTTGTGATTCGAAGCTCCTGATGGTGGGAGGAAGCTCCTGGCTGATCGAAGGGAAGGGATGCGGAATTCTCACATGGGATGCTTGGATGTCGGAAATGGGAACGGGAGATGGGAGATTCGCTGATTGAAGTGGTGTCTATGGTGACTTCCCACGTGGCGACGCATGGTTCATCGAATGCGTGGCGAAGGGGGAGAAGGGCTGTTACGCAAATAATCGTGTGGACGCACGCCGTGGAGCTCGCAGGCTGGGAACGATCATGGCTGAACGAACAAACTGAATGCGAAATTGTTGGCGACAGCCAATTACTTTGGCGAAATAGATCCCTCTTGGGCGAACACAGAACCACTCAAAGATTGGCCAGCGAAGACTCCAGCAGGAAGGTGGTCGAACCGAATCTGAACCGAACATGCCTAACAGGTTCTGAGTCGCTCTGGTTCCGAACTTCAGAAACAGCTTGGGCGAATGCTGGTTTGGGATGTGTGGTGTAACCTCTGATCGCATATCTTTCCATGCTGCTCTTTCCCTATCTCGTACATCTCCTACTAAAGAATCCGCGGCGTTCCAGATGAGACCCTCTCGTCACAGCCTTGCATGGTAACGCGGCAGGACGGTTCCACGTGGCAGCGCCCAGTCATCTGATGCTTAGCCGTCGTCACGTGGGCTGGAATAGCGGCCGGAGCGCTGTTCCTCGCGTATCGTCTTTGGGCACGCGCCGTACGGTATGGTGCGGCTGCGCGAGAAGCAACGCATTCCCTTCCCCTTGTTCAAATAGTAATGCATCCCTTCCCTTTCAGGCAAGGCATCCGGTTCCTGCCATTCACGTGAAGCATTCCATTTCCGTCCTGCCGTTCCAGCTAAGGCATCCCGTTCATGCCGTCAAAATGAGAGGACGTGTTTCCGCCACGTCGTTGCATTGTCAGACGTTTCCGGCAGAAACTGCACCATTTCGTCCCTCGAGGCACATCCATTCTCGACTCGCCTCCCTTCTCATATCCCTCCCGTCCCCCCACTCCCCACCCTCACTTTCCATTACCCTCTTCCGCTCCTCCCATGCCCTCCAGGCCTTTCGTTGGTCAATCGTTCAACCGCTCCTGCCCCACCCTCCGCCAACCAACCTCCCTCCTCCCACCACCTCCTCCGCCTTCCCCCCCTCCTCTCCGACTCGTCCCCCTCGACCCACGGCCCGGCGGTGTTCGTTCCGCGGATGCACCAGCGGCGCCAGCAGCATAGGGACGCGCTCGGGCTCACTGTGGGGGTGACGCGACGGCGCACCTCTCTGTAACGCGCTGGGATGCGGCACTGGTGATGCTGGTATGCTGACGTGGCTTTGCTGGACGGGATGGGATACGTTGGGATGGGCTGGGATGGGACGGGATGGGATGGGAGGGATTGATGTGGTTGTATGAGATGCATGCAGAGCCGAAATAGGACGCAGTGCCCTCAGCCCCACCACCCACATCCTCAACCTTCTTCGTCCCTTCTTCCCCCACCTATTCCCTCCCTGCTTCCCTCCCGCTTCCCTCCCGCTTCCCTCTCGCTTCCCTCCCCGCTTTCCACCTCGCCGCTTCCATCCTCCGCGCATCCTTTCCTTTCCTTTGTCTTGGTTTTGCTATCCACCCACTTCCCTTCGGATCCGCCCGGACATGGCATGACACATCCCAACCATGCTCTCTCTCTCTCTCTCTTTTCCATCTGCCCATGCCGCAGCAGCTCTTCCTGTGCAGCGCGGGCGTTTCATCAAGGCATTGCGGGAGCGCAAGAGAGCATGCAGCAGTGCGGAGGGGCATGGCCGTGCGGAAGTGCTTCATGAGCGCCTTTGCATGTTCCCTCCCTTCTCCTTCATTGACCGCTCGTGCCAACAGGAACAGTTTGGATGGCAAGGGATTTTGCATTGGGTTGGTTGATTTCGCATACACAGGGGGATGGAAATAGACAGGGGGGATTCGTATGAGCGTAGAGGGGCTTATTGAAATGGTTCTCATCCCTCACTGAACCTTGCATTCTCATCAGTAACCTTGCCTCTCCTCCTCCTCACCACACCTTCCCCTCTTCAGGCATGCAGGCGGGGACGATACGATCTGCCATGGGGCACGGCGTCTGGGATCCTCATGCCCTGCCATTCAACTCTCACCGCTCCACCAGTCAGTCCTTTCTTCGCCGCTGCCTTGTAATTGCTGTTTCTCCGTTGTTCCCCCGTCTGTGTTATCCTGTCTCTGCCCCCACCGAAGCAAACGTGCTGGTCGCACACATCCTTGGGTGGTTATCATGCCGCCTCTCACCCGCCTGTAACCACTTTGCTCGTCACTGCTGCCACTCTGCAGGTCCGATTCGGTATGTACCCAGTGGGAGGGGCATTGGCATACCTTTCTAATTCCATGCCACATAGATTGTGGCGGAGCTGCACTGCAAGTCGAAGGGGATTGCTGGGTGCAGACTTCGTCAATGATCTGATAACATGTAGGCGCAGGAGAAGCAGTGGAGAAGAAGTTAGGCGCATACACCAAACCTGCCATGCCAAGCGGTGGTAAATGTGAGCAGATACGCACGTGTCTACGCGTGCATGGTCATCATCTGAATGTCAGCATCAGGCCTGGTCACTGCATGCCTGTCATGGACAGCAGAGAGAACCCGACCTGGTGCTCTGCCTCCTATCGCTCGCAGGAGCCCATACAGCACCGCATCAACTTGCTGGCGTTTGCTCTGGTTCATACGCTGGATGTGGTGGATGTGGTTCAGTCGCTTCAGGTGCTTCAGGCACTTCCCTCCATCCGCCACCCTTCTCTACTGCCCCTTCCCCCCCTTTCCCCATCTTGAGAAAAGGGGTCATCATATGAGCGGGCGGTGCAGCGTATGAGCGGGCGGTGCAGCGTATGAGCGGGTGGTGCAGCGGGAAGGTGGGGGCACAGGCGTGCACATCAGCAGTAGCAAAAGCGGAAGGGAAGGACGGGAAGGTGGGGGCACAGGCGTGCTCATCAGCAGTAGCAAAAGCGGAAGAGAAGGACGAGCAGGTGGGGGCAGAAGCGGGTGTATCAGCAGCAACTGGAGCGGAGGAACAGGACGAGCAGGTGGGGGCAGAAGCGGGTGTATCAGCAGCAACTGGAGCGGAGGAACGGGACGAGCAGGTGGGAGGAAAAGCAGAGGCAGCCGCAGTCCCACAAGGAGCCTGGGCCCGCATGGAAGGGGAGAATCCAGAGTGGAAGGGGGGAGAGACAGTGAGCGAAGAAGGGAAGAAGGTGATGTTGGCAATGCTAGCGAAACACTGGAGGCGCTTTGCCACACAGGAGGGGCGTAAGGGCCCGGTAAAGCAGTGGGAGCTAAAGCTGAGCAGCCGCAAACTGGTGTTACACGGGAAGAGGAAAAGGCCGCCGGAGGATAAGGAGATATGCAAGGGTAAATTTAGGGAGCTGCTGACTAAGCAGGTGGTGCTGAATGAGGTTAAGGGGAGTAGGAAATCAGCAAACATCTCGGAGAATGAGCGGGCCATGAAGTGGCTGATGGGGGAAACGGAAGAAGAGGAGGCAGTGACAGAGAGAGCGAGAGTGAGGGGGGGGCACCACTGCAGGTGGTATCAACAGGAGCTGCAGATGCAGCCGACGGAGAGATGGAGGGTGATACCCGCACCAGGCGAGAGGAAACCAGTAATCAAAGAAGTGCACACCAAGCAGGGGCAACTCGACCACGAGAGAATGGTGCAGCTGTTAAACAGGGAATGGTGGTGGGAGAGAATGCCCAGGCAAGTGAACGGGTGGGTGGAAAGTGGTGAAGCAGGGTAGTGGAGAGTAAAAGAGGTGCGTGAATCTGGGGTGCTGGTGCTGGAGAATGAGAAAGAAGTACCGGTGAAGGCACATCAGAGCAACACGGCAGGAGTCAAAGGAACAAGGCCTCAGCAGCATGGTCCTGTGACCCGAGCTCAGGCAGCCCGAGCACGGGCACAGGAGGGGGCAGGTGGTGGCTGAGGCTGATCAACCACGTAAGGAGAAGGAAGGCAAGGGAGTGACAAGAGGAAGAGCAGGTTGCAAGGATGAGGTGGTTCTCCGACAGCTGTCACCGAATATGCACTTCGTGCATATGCGATAACAGTTGGTGCGCGGGTGTAGATGCGAGTGTAGGTTCAGGTGTAGTCTTTGTATGATTACAATTTGTGGGTGAGTTGCTGGGGAGTATGGGGGGTTGAGGCGAAGTTGTTGGGAAGGGTTAGAGGAAACATCGAGGGGTGGGAATCTAACGAACCAATCTGAAGCAACTGGGCCTGGCTCGAGGCGCACATCGAGAAGTGTGCGACTGAGCCAGGTTCAGGTAAATTCAGTACCAAACACCCTCTCGTTGCTTTTCTCCTGTTATTCTCTCATATTAGTGGAAAGCTGTTACCTCAGATCTAGCATCCGGTGGCACTCCACTATGGGAGGACCTACGGGGTGAGGGAGGAAACTCTTTCATGGTGGTGGCTGAGGCTGATCAACCACGTAAGGAGAAGGAAGGCAAGGGAGTGACAAGAGGAAGAGCAGGTTGCAAGGATGAGGTGGTTCTCCGACATATCCTCGCTACACAAACAATGCAACCAGACCAAATCTGGACCCATGTCTTCGGCCTATCAGCAAATTCCACGTGCCAGAAACCATATAAACCCCGCATCACATCAGCACTCAGATCAGACGCCTCCACGTTTGGCATGCTCCTGGGATGGCAAGGCAGAGGAGGAGGACAGGTGCATGCCGCTGTGCTGTGCCCCTTTTTGAGGCGCCTCAAAAGCCACCGTGCCCGGAATGCTCCTGGGATGGCAAGGCAGAGGAGGAAAACAGGTGGATGCCACTACGTTGCACGGCAGACATGACGAGCATGTGGTTCAGAATGGACAGCTCCTCGTCCAGAGTGCGCCCCTGCTCCTTCACCCCCTCCATGAACGCTCTGTCCACCTCCTCTGCACTCTCCTGCAACCCCACATCGCTCCCCATCCCTCCTCCTCCATCTCCCTTTTGCTTCCCAGGCGCTTCTCCTGCTGCCCCTGCCAATTCACTAGTTCCTGCTCCTGCTTCTATTCCACCAGCTCTTGCACCAATGACGCCTGATAGCTCCAACGCACCATCCTCCTCACCCACTTCGTGAATAACCCTCCCCACAACACCGCCACCACCAGCACCAGCGCCAACAGCAGTGCCTACACCCCCATACCCCTGTCGCCCCCCACTGCCATCTCTCGCGCCCTCCCTCGTGCCAAAGAACTGGCGCTTGAGGGAGGAGAGGGAGGAGAGGGAGGAGATGAGCGAGGCCATGGAGGGGCGGGTGGCCGTGGGCACGTGTGTGCATGCCAGCCCCAGCTCTGTCAGTGCCCTTGTAAGCCGCACCTGCTGCTCGTGACTGAGTGTGCTGGGGAGGAGGGCGTCTGGTGGCTGTGCTTGTAACGAGGGGTCTAGGAGTGGTGTGAGGTCGTCGGCAGCTAGGAGAGGGGCGGCCTGACGGGGTTGTGCAAGCAGAGGGGGAAGGGACGATATGATGAGGTTGGAGAGAAGAGCCTGCACAGCATAGAATGAACAAGGGCAAGGAGGGGCACGGAGGGGCAAGGAGGGTGCAAACCATTGCGTGCCCATGAGCACCACGAAATCCCACCCCAGCACCACTTTAGACACTTTCAATCCCACCCCAGTCTTTGGGCTTAAGACTCACCCAGTCCTTGATGTTAACACACTCTGTGCCCAGCAGCACCACCGGGCCTCGCCCCAGCACCACCTCCAGCATCACCACTCCAAAGCTGCCTCGCCGGGCACCGGGGAACAGGGTAGTGGGGCGGGAACGGAGGGAATAGTGGGGGGACACATTGGGAAGAAAGGGACAGAGTGCGGATGTTGGGAAGGCAAGGGGAACGAGAGGAGGGCAGGGATGAGCAACTTGAAACTGAAACCGGATGTGGCCTTGTGTGCGCTGCACACCTGTATACATCAAGCGACGGGGTGGCCTTGTGTGTCTTGTAGTATTGTAAGGAATTTTCTCGGCATTCCTTACGGAGCCCGACTACATCGCGTACAGCAACAGCCGTTGTTCGCCCGTTACTGCTAACGGGACTTCGCCAACTTCGCGCGCACTGTTTTGCCAAACCTCGCACTGCTGGCCCGGCCGTGTCGGCCTACGCTTCGGGACTAGCCCGAGCCTCGCTGCCAGCATAGCACTAGCTAGCTCGCACGCACCGCGTTACCGTTTGCATGTTTCGCGTATAAATGTTCGCTCATGCCTTCGCTCACATCTTTGTACTCGTTTGACACCTTAGTGCAATCCTTGCTACCTCGATCCATTGCACCCGTAATACTTGGTATTCAGAGCCTCTTTCCTTTCGGACCGCGCATCTCCGCACCCCAGGAAATCAACTTTTGATTTTTTCACTCGAAGGGACTCACGCACCTTAGCACCTAGGAGCTGCTGTCCTCGCGTTCTCTCGTAAACGCGTGCAGCCACGACTGCGCCTAGACTAAGACGAGCCGACACCCTTCGAAATGGCTGAGCACATTGATATCACGACCCTCACGCAGGAGCACTTGAACGATCTGCTGCGACAAATCCGTGAGAGCGCCGAGGAAATCGCAACGCTGACAGCAGAACGCTCGTCCCTGCAGAATGACCTCACACGAGCACAACAAGCACAATCTCAAGCACCTGGCACTCCGGAACAGCCCGCACCACAGGCATCACAACACGGAAGCGTGGGGCAACCCGCGAGCACGGCCAGTGATGGCGTCGTCCGCCCCGACGGAGACGACGACCACGCCACGACACACCCCGAAGCGACGAATGCGGCCCGAAGCCAGCCACACACGTCACAATTTCGGCACCAACCGACAGTTCGGCACTGCCGTCACCGATGCCGCTGAAGCCGCAGCGTCCGCCATGCTTCGATCCCAGTCAAAGGGGTGGTCCTACCGTTCAGGCATGGTTGTTCACGATGAACGTATTTTTCGACGCCAACTACGTCTCGGAGGATACGGGGAATCCGCTACGCCGTGTCGCTGCTGCGAGGACCCGCCATGGATTGGTGGCGCGTCATCGTCACGAAGCCGGTGGACTACGCGAGACTACCGACACGGGAAGGACAAACCGGACCCTGGGCGCCGTCGTATTTCGTGGAGGTGCCCCAGTATCGCACGTGGGACGCGTGGTGCGCAGGTCTGCGCGCTCGTTTCGAGCCAATCGCGGCTTCGATCGCGGCGCGACAGAAGCTCCGCACTTGGCGTCAACTCGGTTTCGTCCAGGACTACACGAGCGGATTTCTGGTGCTATGCGAGCAGGTGGGATATATGCACGAGAGCGAGCGCATCGACCGCTACATCAGCGGCCTGAAGCAGGACATCGCTCAGGAAATCCAGCTTCGCGGCGTCATCGACTTTCAAGAAATTCTCGCTATGGCGGAGAAACTCGACTTCTTCCGCCGACCGAGACCGGGGTCCTACGGAAGCAGCCATTGGGGACATCGGTCTCGTGGGACGAACGAGGGCGCCACGATACGTGCCGTCGCCGCAAATGCCGCTGCCGCACCATTCAAAGGGCGCTGCTTTGCGTGCAATCGGCCGGGACATCGCAAGAACGAATGCCCGGAAAACGCTAAGGGAAAGGGGGAAGCTGAGCAGCAGAAACAGACCAAGCAGCAGGGAAACGCTGGAAGTCAGTAGCAGACGGGCCCTCTACTGACAGGTCACGCCGCTCGCCCGACCCAACCGACCCTCACCGAGTGATTGTGCCGGTTCACGCAATCGACCACACCCGGCCGAATAAGGAGGGTACTACGGTAGACAGCCCTATACTTCTTAGTGGGAAAATCGGGACTGACTTAGTTAAAATATTCGTAGACGGAGGGGCAAGCCACAGCCTTATCAACACTGCCACAGCACGAAAATTGCGACTGCCACTGGACAGATGTTTACCTGAGGTCGACGCAAGACTGGTGGACGGCACGCCGCTGGCGATACGGGAACGCGTAGACCGGGTTCGGATTCGATGCGGGGGTAACTTCACGTTTAGCCAGGAAATGCTCGCGACAACCCTTGACGGAACCGACATTTTACTCGGTCGGGATTGGTTGCGACGACACAATCCGCGAATCGACTGGACGACGGGTGACTGCACCGTGTGAGTGAACGGTAACAACATCGCCCTACCTCGCTGGGGCTCGCCTGAGTCTTCGTCGGTGCGTGTCAACGCGATCACAATGAAGCGCGCCGTAACGGCAGGAGCTGACGTGTATGCGGTTGACATTCGGGAAGCCGAAGCAGCAGACCAGGGAGGGGATTTACAGAAACTGCTTGCCGACGTACGGGATGACTTGGCAGCACTCCTGAAGCAGTACAGGGAGATATTTCCGGATGACCTGCCAACGGGACTGCCACCTCAGCGACCGCACGACCACAAAATAGAACTAAAACCGGGGGCACAGCCGACAGTACAGCGACAGTTTCGACTGACCCAACCCAAACTGGACGAACTGAGGAAGCAGCTGGATTACCTGCTCGAGAAGGAATTCATTCGCCCTAGCTCGTCACCCTTCGCAGCACCGATACTGTTCACACCGAAAAAAGATGGGGGATTTCGCATGTGCATAGATTACAGAGCACTGAACAGGGTTACCATCAAATCCCGTTACCCCATCCCACGAGCCGACGAACTGATCGACCAACTGCGCACAGCCCGGTTTTTCTCGAAAATCGACCTCCGAGGGGGTTACCACCAGATTCGCGTCAATCCGCCCAACTACCCTAAGACCGCATTTCGCACACGTTACGGATCCTTCGAATACACCGTCATGCCCTTCGGACTGACCAACGCCCCGCCACATTTCAAATGACCATGAACGAAGCTTTCCGCCCGCTCTTAGATAAGTGCGTCATAGTATACCTGGACGACATACTGATTTACAGCCCTGACAGAGCACAGCACTTACAGGACATCGAAGCAGTTTTTAAGATACTGAGTGAGAACCGCCTACTGACAAAAGCGTCTAAGTGTGAGTTTTTACAGGACCGCCTGGAGTTTTTGGGACACGTTATTTCAGCTGCAGGAGTGGAAAAAGACCCGAAAAAATTCACGACGATTCAAGCCTGGCACGCGCCGACCAACTTGACCGAGTTGCAGAGTTTGTTGGGGTTCGTCAACTACGTGCGCCGGTTCGTCCTTCACATGGCGAAGCTGACTGCCCCGCTGACCGACCTGCTGAGGAAGGGGGTTGAGTACACGTGGGGGGAGAAAGAGCAAGCTGCCTTCTCGGCCCTCAAAAACATTTTGTGCTCACCGCCCGTGCTTCACATCGCAGATCCGCACCGTCCGTTCGAGCTCGTCACCGACGCAAGTGACATCGCTGTGGGAGCAGTACTGTTGCAGGATTTTGGGAACGGCCTCCAGCCAATCGCGTATGAGTCCCGCAAGCTGCACCCGCCCGAACGCAACTACCCGATACACGACCGCGAAATGTTGGCGATCGTGCACGCGTTCAAGGTTTGGCGGTGTTACCTGATTGGCGCCGATGTGACAGTACGGACAGACCACCGATCACTACAGTACCTGCGTGCCCAACCAAATCTCAATCCGCGACAGATTCGCTGGTTGGACTACCTCGAGTCCAACTTCCACTACACGGTTACGTACAAAAAAGGCGCCTCCAACATCGCCGACGCACTCACCCGCCCTACCGCCCAACTCCATGCCATCCTACTCGCCCAAACCAACCCGCTTCTAACAGGCCTATTCACCCACGGATACCGCACCGACCCATTTTTCACGACCGGAAATTCACAGCAACTGGCAGAAGCTAAAGGAGTTTATTACGTAAAAACAGGCACCAACCGCATCTGGGTACCCGCGTACTCACTACTGAGGGAGCTGCTACTGCAGGAGGCACACGACGGAATTACCTCGGGACATTTTGGGGTAGAAAAAACGCGACAGCAACTGCAGCGGTATTACTACTGGCCGGAGCTGTTGACCGACGTGCAGCAGCACGTGGGCTCGTGTCCCACGTGTCAGGTGATGAAGAGCTCGAGGAAGCGGAAGGCGGGTCAACTGCAGCCGATACCACCGCCCGAGCGCGCCTGGTAGCAGGTTACCATGGACTTCGTCACAGGGTTACCTTCGAACCCTGGGGGTAACGACGCGGTGATGGTCGTCGTTGACAGGTTGACGAAGATGGCACACTTCGCTGCGTGCAAAAAGTCGATCTCAGCCGAGGATACCGCTCGCCTGTTCATCGCAACCGTTGTTCGCCTGCACGGGATACCAGCAGCGATTATCAGCGACAGGGACACGAAGTTCACCAGCAACTTCTGGAAGAATCTCTGGGAGCAGTTCGAAACACGGCTACAGTTCAGCTCGTCGTACCACCCCGAGACCGACGGTCAAACGGAGCGGACGAATCAGACGATGGAGCAGTTGATTCGTGCCACATGCGACGACCCCACGACTTGGGAGCAGCAGCTGCCGCTGATCGAGTTCGCATACAACAACGCCACGTCAGTAACGACGCAGCAGTCCCCCTTCTACCTGAACTACGGGCAAAACCCTACAGTGCCCATGACGCCGAGTCCGGACAACCCAACACCACGTGCACAGCAATTCGCCGAAATTCTGCAAGCTGCCCGCACCAGAGCCGCAGAAGCAATTAAAAAAGCAAACGTCATCGCTAAGCGCAACGCTGACCGCCACCGCCGCCTAGTCACATACCAGTCAGGGGATTACGTACTAGTCGACACGCAAAATCAGCGACTGCCCGACGTACCGAAACTTCGCCCGCGCTACTGTGGCCCATTCCAAATCAGCCACATGATCACGCCAGTAAACGCGCACCTACTGTTACCGACCGACTGGTACATCAGCCCATCGTTCCACGTCAGCCTACTTCGCCCATACATCCCAACCACCAGCCAATTGCCTCGTCACCGCCTGCACTCCATGACTCGCCCTGCATC